AAGAAGGTTTCCCTTTTTCCACATACTCACTGACACCTATTTCTTCTTGTGTTGTTGATTTTCATATACAGACAGGTGTGAGGTGATATCTCATTTAGTTTTGATTTACATTTTTCTGATGGTAAGTGATGTTGAGCATCTTTTCATGTGTCTGTTCACCATATGTAAGTATTCATTGGAAAAATATCTATTCATGTCTTCTGCTTATTTTTTTAAAAGATTTTATTTATTTATTTAACAGAGATCACAAGTAGGCAGAGAGGCAGGCGGGTGGGGGGGTGGCAGGGAAGCAGGCTCCCTGCTGAGCAGAGAGCCTGATGTGGGGCTTGATCCCAGAACCCTGGGATCATGACCCGAGCCAAAGGCAGAGGCTTTAACCTGCTGAGCCACCCAGGTGCCCCTCTTCTGCATATTTTTTAATTGGATTATTTGTTTTGGGGGATGTTATTTTATAAATTCCTTATGTTTGAATACTAACCCTTTATCATAGGTTGTCTTTAGTTTTGTTGGTTGTTTTTCCTTCACTTGCAAAAGCTTTTTTATTTTGATATAGTCCCAACAGTTTATTTTTTTGTTTCCCTTGCCTTAGGAGATGTATCTAGAATGTAGTTGCTATAGCTGATGTCAAAGAAGTCACTGCCTATATTCTCTTCCAGAATTATTATTGTTTCAGGTCTCATATTTAGGTCTTTAATCCATTTTGAATTCATTTTTGTGTATCGTGGTCCATTTCATTCTTTTGTATGTTGCTCTCCAGTTTTCCCAGCACCATCTGTTGTGGAGACTTTTTCCCATTGGATATTCTTTCCTGCTTTGTCAAAGATTAATTGACCATGTAATTGGGGGTTCATTTCTGGGTTTTCTATTCTTTTCTGTTGATCTATGTATCTATTTTTGTGCCAGTACTATACTGTTTTGGTGATTATAGCTTTGTAATATAACTTGAAGTCTGGAATCATGATGTCTCCAGCTTTGCCTTTATCTTTTCAAGATTGCTTTGGCTCTTCAGGGTCTTTTGTGGTTCTATACAAATTTTAGAATTGTTTGTTCTAGATCTGTGAAAAATGCTATTGGTATTTTGAGAGACAAAATTTAGGTTCTTTGGGTGGTATACATATTTTAAAAATATTTATTCTTCCAATCCATGAGCATGGAAGGTCTTTCCATTTCTTTGTGTTGTCTTTAATCTCTTTCCTGGTATTTTATAGTTTTCAGAGTATAGGTCTTTCACCTCTTTGGTTAAATTTATTGTATCTTATTGGTTTTGGTGCAGTTGTAAATGGGACTGATTCCTTAATTTTTCTGTGTGCTGTTTCATTGTTGGTGTATAGAAATGCAACAGATTTCTGCATGTTGATTTTGTATCCTGCAACTTTACTAAATTTGCTTGTGAGTTCTAGCAGTTTTCTGGGGGAGTTTTGTTTTGGATTTCTATGTAGAGTGTCATGTCATTTGTGAATAGTGAAAATTTTACTTCTTCCTTTCCAATTAGGATGCCTTTTATTTCCTTTTGTTGTCTGATTGCTGCGGCTAGGACTTCCAGTACCGTGTTGAATAAAAATGGTGAGAGTGGACATCTGTCTTATTCCTGACTTCAGGGGAAAAGCTCTCAGTTTCTCCTGATTGAGGATGATCAGGAGAAACTGAGAGCTTTTCCCCTGAAGTCAGGAATAAGACAGATGTGGGTTTTTTTTTTTTTTAAAGGTTTTATTTATTTATTTGACAGACAGAGATCACAAGTAGGCAGAGAGAGAGGGGGATGCACGCTCCCTGGCGAGCAGAGAGCCTGATGCGGGCTCGATCCCAGGACCCTGGGATCATAACCTGAGCCGAAGGCAGAGGTCTTAATTCACGGAGCCACCCAGGCGCCCCTTGTATATGACCTTCATTACATTGAGGTAACTTCCCTCTAAACCTACTTTGTTGAGAATTTTTATCATTGAATGGATGTTGTATTTTGTTCAGTGTTTTTTCTGCATCTATTGAAATGATCATATGGTTATCCTTTCTTTCATTAATGTAATGTATCTTGTTGATTGATTTGTGAATATTGAAACAACCTTGCAACCCAGGAATAAATCCCATTTGATTATGGTGAATGATATTTTTAATGTATTGTTGGATATGGTTTGCTACTATTTTATTAGGAATTTTTGATATCTGTTTTCATCAGGGATATTGGTCATTAGTTCTGTTTTCTAGTGGTGTCTTTATCTGGTTTTGGTATCAGGGTAATGCTGGCCTCATAGAATTAGTTGGAAATTTTCCTTTCTTTTTTATTTTTTGGGAAAGTTTGAGAAGAATAGGTATCAATTCTTCTTTAAATGTTCTGTAGAATTTGCCTGTGGAGCCATCTGATCCTGGAGTTTAGTTTGTTAGGAGATTTTTGATTACTGATTCAATTCCTTTGCTGGTTATTGGTCTGTTCAAGTTTTGTATTTCTTCCTGTTTCAGTTTTGGTAACTTATACATTTCTTCTAGGTTGTCTAATTTGTTGACATATAGTTTTTCATAATATTCTTGCAATTAATTGCTTATATTTCTGTGATGTTGGTTGGATTATTATTCTCTTATTTGTGACTATTTGGATCACATCTCCTTTCTTTTTGGTAAGTCTGGCTAGAGGTTTATCAACTTTACTAATTTTTTCAAAGACAGCTCCTGGTTTCATTGATCTGTTCTATTGTTTTTGTTTGTTTGTTTGTTTTAGTTTCTGTATCATTTATTTCTGCTCTAATCTTTATTATTTCCTTCCTTCTCCTGACTGTAGGTTTTACTTACCGTTCTTTTTCTAGCTCCTTTAAGTGTAAGATTAGGTTGTATATTTGAGATTTTTCTTGTTTCTTGAGTTAGGCCTGTATTGCTCTATCCTTCCCTCTTAGGATGGCTTTTGCTGCATCCTAAAGGTTTTGGACTGTTGTGTTTCATCTTCATTCATTTCCATGTTTGTTTTTTTTTATTTCTTCTGTGATTTCCCAGTTGACTCATTCATTGTTTAGTAGCATATTGTTTAACCCCCATGTACTTGTGGGTTTTCCAGGTTTTTTCTTGTGGTTAACTTTGAATTTCTTAGCATTGTGGTCAGAAAAGGTGCATGGTATGACTTCAATCCTTTTTTACTTGCTGAGGCCTGTTTTGTGTTCTAATATGTGATTTATTCTGGAGAATGTTCAATATGAAAAGAATGTGTATTCTACTGTATTAGAATGAAATGTTCTGAATATATCTGTTAAATCCATCTGGTCCAGTGTGTCACTCAAGACCACTGTTACCTTATTTATCTTCTCTTTAGGTGATTTGTCCATTGATGTTAATGTCACCTATGATTATCATGTTAGTATCAGATAGTTCTTTTATGTTTGTTATTAATTGTTTTATGTATTTGGGTACTCCTCTATTGCATGTTTCGGTACATAATAATAGAGCTGTTCTTTTTTTGTAGCATTAATTAGTTCATATTCTTGTTCTATAATCGCTGCCCATTTCACAAAGAAATGTTGGATCAAACTCTTGATGAGAAGTTATGTACGTTTTGTCACATCCGTGCTTTTAGTAGTGCTTTGGAAAGGAAATTTATTATTTATTTATTTATCATGTATTTTTAGCTGGATTCTAGAGTATAAATGAGGGGCAATGAGAAATGAAGACAAAGTGATGAGAGTAAATTATGATGGACCCTTCAGTGACATGCTAATGAAAGTAGATTTTATTTGTAAGACATGGGGAATAATTGAAGGATTAAGAGAAACATTGAGAGCAAAGATGAAACAGTAGAGGTCTGTTAGCTTTATATAGCCTTCATGTTATGCCTGGATAGTGTTTTAAAACATAACGTCCAGCAAGAGTGATGCTGGGTTGAATACAAGGTAGTTTTGTTTTATTTTTTAAGATTTTATTTATTTATTTGATATATAGAGAGAGGTCACAAGTAGGCAGAGAGGCAGGCAGAGAGAGAGAGGGGGAAGCAGGCTCCCCTCTGAGCAGGGAGCCCAATGTGGGGCTCCATCCCAGGACACTGAGATCATGAGCTGAGCCGAAGGCAGAGACTCAACCCACTGAGCCACCCAGGGACCCCACAAGGTGTTTTGTACCTATTGTGTCATACCTGGTACACTACCCACATTTATGTTTATTGCACAGCTCCTATAGACATTAGTGTTTGCAATTCTTGATCTAGAAGTATGTCCTCAAACTCTGTATAGAAACACTGTATCTTTACCTTATAGAAATATTACCTGGTCTGACCAACCTGTAAGTTTATATAAAGTCTCATTAACATTAATGCTAAATAATTATGGTTCTTCCAAATGAAGGGCTGATGGAGGGAGGCAAGTGGGGTCTGGCCTACATGGGTGATGGGTATTAAGAAGGGCACTTGTTATGATGAGCGCTGGGTGTTTTATGTAAGTGATGAATCACTGATTTCTACTCCTGAAACCAGTGTTGCACTGTACGTTAACTAACTAGAATTTAAATAAAAATTTGACAAGAAAAAAAATAATTAAGGCTCTTCTATATGCATGACTCCCCATCTTCAGCACTACTTATTTCTGAAAAAATCTCCACGATGTCTCATATGTCCAAGAAGAAAAAAAAAAAGAAAGCCCACTCATTTCTTTAACCATCCTGCCAGCAAGTCACTTGAGGTAGGGATTGCGTTGTAACCACTGCAGTTGAAGCCTTTCTGGGAAAGCAGCTTTTGGGCTCTCTACTGGCCTCAAGGGTGTCTACCACTGCTTGGCCACTGCTCTGCAGGCCTCACCAGATGTGGCCACTCTCATTTAGACCAATGATGGAGTGGCTTCTTTTTCCATATTAATTTCAAATTTTTATTTAGATGCCCGAGCCTATAATCTCAGAGCTTTACTGGAAAATACCAGCGTTAGCTCTGAATGTAATTTTTCATCCATATGCATTACAAGACCTATCCTTAAGACTGTCTGGCAGCGTGACACCAAGGCACCATATTATTTATCATTTTTTTCTCTGATTTTCCCTAGGTTCTTCCAATCCCCAGCTCCCACATACTTCATATTTCCTTCTTCTCGTGAAAAAATACAAAAGCTCTAATGCATTTCAACTTGTCCAAATGGGCCCTCAGTGTGGAAGATGACTTTAGTTTCTCAAACAGGTAAGGGAAATCACTTTTGAAGTAGCAAGACACTGTACTAGATTAATATGACTTAGGGTAAATAACAAACTGCATTTATTTTCATGTTTTTATAGTTTGAACGTGTACCCATAATCACATCAATTTAAATATATCCACAAGCACAATCTTTGTGAACCTCTGTTTTAGAGATTCTACTATTCCTCACTCCTCTAGTAAGTTCTACCTAAACACTGCTTTCCTGCTAGCTTTGGTTTACTGATACCACAATGGTCAAGCTAACCTCTACTCCACTCTTTGTACCTCTACTATGTGAGAGTTAAAGAACCCTTGACAGTCTTGCCTTCCATCTTCTCCAAACATGTCAAAACTCAATTCAGTACTTCTGTATGTGAATCTTTTCTTGCTTAATTATGTCTTGTTTTAATCACTGCCATTATATTGGTTCATCACTTTCTGAAAGGTTTTTTTTTTATGGAGAACTGTTTTCTTGAAAGATTTTAAAAAGTATTCCTTTGGAGGGGTAGGGAAAGAAATTCGTGGTCAACTAAATTTGGGTAGTTCTGCTCACTCTATCCATATTTTTCAGTGCACTTGAGTGTATTAAATGTTCTAAGAAGTTTTCCAGTAAAGAAACTAATTTTGTATCCGGTGTTATTCATAAATGCTCCAATACTCATGTTACATTGGTTACATATTGCAGTTTTGTTAAAGTGCAAATTTCTTAATAAATAAATCTCCTCAATTTCTGTCATAACTCTCCTAAGTACCTGAGTCAACACTGTGTATAATTTAGTTAAACTCACATATTATAAACTAGACACCATGTTAGGTCCTAAAGTTCAAAGATGGATAATTTTTGTAAAGATTTATGGAATAACAAGTAGCTTTCAGTGAATAGTATTTTGCTGATATTTAGCATTTATTTTATTGTGGTAGACTTGGAGTTTAATTTTCAGTTCTAACTGCAACAGTTTACTCTTTATTTCTCTGTCCCCATTTAAGGATCTGTTAATCTTTTTCTCCCATTGTTACGTATGAAAAGACTTTTAAAGATTTGAAAACCAAGGTGCAATTATCAAATGTTACATAGGGATTTATAATTTTGAATAAGTAAAGTAAGTTTACTTATTCTTTGGAATCTAATATTAAGTTAGAAATAGAAAATTTCTAACAAGAGGAATCAAGGGATGGTGAAATAGTCAAACAAGGATTTAAAATAACATTCCTGAAACTCTGACTTCCTCAAAGCAGGAAGCAATAAGAGCTATAGGTAATGGCAGGAAGAGGTGAATGAAATATTTTTTTTCATTGCTGGTAAGCTTGTCGGGGTGCTCTTGTGGTTATTGAAGGAGTTTGGGCTCAGTGGATGGTGCACATCAGTGCTAATTCCTTTCTTTGTTTCTTTTCTTTTTCTTTTTTTTTTTTCCCTAGATAGAGAAAGGAGGGGGGGGGCAGTGGGAGAGAATCTTTCTTTTTCTTTTTCTTTTTCTCTTCTTTTCTAGAGAGAGAGGGTCGCGGTGGGCAGTGGGAGAGAATCTTCCAAACAGACTCCCTGCTGAGTGCAGAGCCCAATTGCTGGGCTCAATCCTGCAACCCATGATATCATGACCTAAGCCAAAACCAAGAGTTAGATGCTCAACCGACTGAGTCACCCAGGTGCCCTACCAGTGCTAATTTCTAATATTCAGAAGATTAATAGCTTCTGGACTTTAGAGGTAGACAGTTAGATTTCAAAAGGACCCCTTATTACTTAGGAATTTTTAGTAGTGTTTGGAGTGTTTAACCTATTTGGAGCTAAAAGAATTATGGCCGCAAAATAAATAGTTCTTGGTTGTTTTCTAATTCAGTGAACACCTGTTGGCTCTCAGTTTGATGTCACCAATGTGTTAGGCTCCGTAGAGGTGTTGGTCGTCATGGTGGTTTTAAAGTTAAACAATATATTCTGAAGAGAATATAATCTTTTGGGAGAGATGGGAAGCTTCATGATATATGGAAAGCTTAAAATATATGACATGATAAAGTATGTAAAAATTTTAGCACGGGGCACCTGGGTGGCTCAGTGGGTTAAGCCTCTGCCTTCGGCTCAGGTCATGATCTCGGGGTCCTGGCATCAAACCCCGCATCAGGCTTTCTGCTCAACAGGGAGCTTGCGTCTCCTCCCCCGCCGCCTGACTCTCTGCCTACTTGTGATCTCTCTCTCTCTCTCTGTCAAATAAATAAATAGAATCTTTATTAAAAAAAATTTAGCATTGTGTGATTGAGGAAAACACAACAAAATGTTCAAAAATATCTTGAGGAGTGAACTGGGTTTGCTCTAATTCATTTAAGGGGATGATGAGCTCCTAGATAAAATGTTAAGACACCAAAAAAAAAAACAAAAACAAAATAAGTAATAGTTTGAGAAAGTGAAGGAAAACAAATATTAAGGTTAACATCTTGGCAAGTGAATGCACATGTTATGTCAAAGAGAAAAAGTTGAAGAAGAAACTACTTCTGGAGTCAGATGAGGGTCTTGTCATAAAATATGAACTCTAACCTTTTCATGAAGCAGAACCTTCCCACATTCTACAAAATGACAGCAGTCTTTGACATTAGCTTTAGGGAAAAATTTTGTGGTCTCCATGGCAAATCACAAGATATGTTAAGATTCTTACAACTCACCACCTTCTACATGCTTCTACTAATACACCAAGAAGAAAATGATACTACTGAGAAAAATATGTAGAATGTATTTTTTATAAATTTTAGTTCAAACAGAAATGGAACAGTTTGGGTTTACAGACAGAATTGAAAAAAAAATGTCTTCCTGCTTTTGAAAGTCAGGAGTTTGGAGTAAAAAGATAAATAAGGGAAATGAAACACTGACTTCACAAATAATGTTGAAGAACATAAATTTTTTGATACCATTCTTTGTGATGAAAAACACGTGGTTCCATCAAGAGGAGGAAACATCTCATTGCAGCATGCGAGGCTGTCAAGATGATCTCGGATTGGAGAAGAAAATTTCAACTAAAATTTGAGAGCATTTTGGCATAAGAAGAGCAAAAGGAGGAAAGGTGCCAAATGTCTCTTGGGAGAAACTATTATCAGAGGGTCATATATCTATGCTCCAATTCCCAAAATAGAATCACTTACCAAAATAAGAAAAATATTTTAGAAGAATGCTATCACCTGGCTGTCCTCAAGGACTGGCCTGCTTGGAACTCTTGCTTGCTTTCTACTACGGTTTTAGTCCCTCTGCTTATGGATGCTAACATGGGCCTCTCGTGCCCTTTTTGGAGTCTCACTTAGACTTTTGCCCTTGTCCTCTGGAACCATGATGAAGTTAGTTTCATTTCTTTGTCCTAGATCTGCCTTGTTCCAGCATCTTCCTTTCTCAAACAGTTTAAGTTTAGGCAAGTCCATGCCAGATTGTTCTTATACTTCTGAACCAAACATATTACATAGATATGTATTCTAATATCAGAGAGGTTCTAAACTACAAAGACCATACTTGTGATTTTGTGTCCTTGGTTGAGAATGTGGGTATGATTAATTTAAAACTGAGACCACTGGATATTTCTGTCTTTAAGGATAGTCCCTAATAATCTGCCAGTGGCTCATTACTGGGAACAGTGTAAAGAAGGTGTTTTCTGGCCTTTCCTAGGCAGTAAGGGGAGTCCTTTGATCTGTGAAGGAAAGAGTACGGGAGCTGGTGGGGATGGTAGAGGAGGAATAGGGGAGGAGAGAAGGAAGAGGAGGGATGGTTGTCTCCCTTTCTTTTCCCCACTTTCCATCCTAAAGTGACCACATGCCCAATATTTAGATCTGCCCTTTGTCCACTACTACCCATCCAGGCTTTCCTCTGGTCTGCCACTTAATCTCATTTCCACTCCAAATTGAAGTTTTCAAAAGAAACTATTAGTTTGCTGAGATCAGATGTGTGTGTGTGTGTGTGTGTGTGTGTGTATGTGTATGTGCGTGTGTGTTTTTATAAAAATGGCAAATTGGGAAAGATCTGTTAAATATTCTGTATATTCATAAAGATATTTGTGGCACTGTATTTTAACCTAGATACAAGAACAAAGCTAAATTGTGTATTTGTGTTAAAATTGTTTCTTAAAACAAAAGATATGTAGGAATAGTGAAGTAAAATAATATTTCATTAATATTTTAAATAATTTTAAAAATCAGAGTTTACCAAAAGGCCCAGTATAATAAAATGGGAAGTACTTTTGCCTTCTCATATTTCTCCAGTTAAAAGTAATTTGCAGATACTGAGAAAACAAAAGCTTTTAAAGATTAAATTCATATCTTATCTATAAGAAATGGGTATGAAAGATGCCATGAAATTATGTGTGTGTATGTTTTTTATAATGTCTTGGTTTAGATTATGCTCAAGGCAATATTTCTGTTTATTCAGTCTAATATTTGGTTTTGATATTTACTCTTCACTTCCTGAGACAGAGCAGTGTGGATGAATCTGTTGATTGTTACATGTGAAATAATTTTCTTTCGGAGCTAAGAGTTGTGATTTCTAGAAATCAAAGGTCTTAAATCTAAGTATTAACTTCAAAAGGGCGCAGGAAAAGGGCTAGTCTTTAAGCCCAAGATTTATGTACAAAATATTACTAAATCAAATGCATCCATGAGCTCATAGATCATTCAAAAAAGGTAAGTGAAACCTGATTGTCCAATCAAGCAAGACCATGTTATCAGAGATATGGCAAAATAACACATTTGTTAGTTGTGTTGTGATGCCATAATCACAGCCTAGAGATAAAAGAAAGTTTAAGATATTGCTTCTCAAACTTTAAGGGCATATCGATCTGCTGGGGATCTTACTGAAATGCAAATTCTGCTTTAGCAGTATTCAGTGGGCCTTCTTCAATTCTGCATTTCTAAAAGCTTTCAGGAAATGCCTGTGCTCTTGATCTTTGGATCACACCTCATAATGTGGATGAGAAGTCAGGGTAAGTTTCATGATTCTACTTCGTTTTTCTCCAACAGTGGGCCAACCTGCTCATGTGCACAAGTCA